AATCTCAGCGCCTGAGGGCAGGAGAGCAGGAGAGCAGGAGGCTGAGCACACTGGAGCGACTCGCCTAGGCTGAACTGGTGGCCCCTAGGGCTTTCACAACCAGGCACTTAGACACGCACACATACTCACGCGCACGCGCGCGCGCGTGAACGCACACGCTCGCACACAGGCTCGCACGTAAACCTATGACTTGGAGACCTGAACTGCCAAAATAGAGACCTCTTGGCAGGGGCTGGAGTTTCCGTGTAAGCCAGCCGCCAGGCTTCCCGCTCCCGAGTTCCCGCTCTCCAAGGTTCTCCCGCCTCTTGGCTTCCTCCCCTGATATTCTGAGGGGACTCAGCAACCGCACAGCGCAAAGGTCCCCTAATGCCAGAGTCTGGCTTTGGCGGCTCAGAGACTGCTGAGCTGGCAACCACTTTATGAATTCCTATCTCTCCCCCCCCCCACCCCACGGTACCCCTATACTTCGTTGCCCTTTCCTCCGGATTGGGCCTGGGATTTAGACTTCCTGATGAGTTACCTCCTGACCCCTTGGCACCTCGGCCCAGCGGGGTTCTCTTGGGTACCCCCAACCACCACCGCACCCCAGCTGAGGAGCCCAGGGATTTGATGGCCCTTTGATTCCTTCCCCTCATCCCTCTGCTTGAGATAGAGGCCTGTCTGGTCCTGCAGCTTCTTCTAGTTAATGTTTGACAGTTCATTGTAGCTAATCATTTTAATTAGCTCTTAAAGTGGGGAGTAACAGTTAACCTTGGACTTCTCGATTTTGGCCTGGTGGGGCCTCAAATGGGAGGAGTTCTGAGGAGGTAAGAGCGGAAGTGAGGTCACCACCCCTGGCCTGAGCCACCACAGCTGGCTCCAACAGCTGGTGGGCACACCCATTAGGGATTCAGCTCCTGTGAGCTGACCCTTGCTTGGCCTAAATGCCAGGATGGAGGGAGGTGAAGGGAACCCATCTATCTCTCTCCCCTTTGGGGAGCCGGGGTGCTTTGGCATCAAAAATGCCCAGGAAACCTGTAGACCAAGTAAGAATGTCAGTCAGTTCCAGGATTTCCCCAGTTATAAAGTGCTTCCTTGACCCAGTGCAGAAAAAGCTAGGCTCGCAGGAGCTGTCTCTGGGTGTGCTAAGATTATCAGTGACAACGTGGAGCTCGCTGCCTTAAGAGACTGCTTGTATATGGGTGTCTCTGGCTTTGGGTTGGAAGTCCATGATACCTTGTGTTGTCTGTGTGTGTTGGTGGGGGGGGCGTCTATGAAGCAGGTTCCACCATTGCCACCCTCAGCCAGCCTCTCTCTGTGAACCGAAGGAGTGGCTTGTTTGCAACTATGCCTGGCATTCCTCCCTCCACTGGACTGTTTTGCTGGCTCCTCAGGAACTAGTGCCCACCCCTGGCCAATCTGGGGGCCCCAAATCCAGCCTTCTTCACATAGTGCTAACTGATGGCACAATAGCTTCAGTCTCCTCTGCTATATATTGGGACCTTAAAATGAGGGCCCTATAACATGTCCTGGACCTGATTGCTAACATATTCAAAATGCCTCTA